TTTTGGGGTAATTTCCCAGGATAGCTGAAAGGGTCGGTAAGGATTGTGGGGCAGTTCAGTGGCAGGGGTATCTATGAAGGCACAAACTATAAACATCAAAAACAGGGAGACCATAGTTACAGTTTAGCTTCCTGGTTGCACAGTTTGAGCTTTAAGGGATTGTCCTTGGTCTGGTCTACTGTCCAGATGGTTTCTCCTCTTGAAGGTTTGATGAGGTCCAGGAAGGGATCCACCGGTTTGGTGTGGGTGTAGTGGATCCAGGTAGCTACTCCATCCACCTTGAGGGCCGTGGGTGTTGTTAGGATAACCTGGAATGGCCCCTTTCACCTTGGTTCCAAATTTCCCTGCTGATGGCGCTTCACCAGAACCCAATCTCCTGGCTGGTATTGATGGGGAGTTGGGGGAGGTCTGGTTTCATACAGCTCCCTTAATTTCGGCCAGACTTCATCATGAACTCTCTGTAGAGCTTGTAGGGAAAATAAAAGTTCAAAATCATCATCTTTTTAATTTTTAACCAGCTTTTCTTTTAGGTTAGGAATTATGGGTGGTGGTCAGCCATACATTATCTCGTAAGGAGTAAGGCCCAGCTTGTAGGGGGAGTTACGGACCCTAAACAGAGCGTAGGGGAGAAGGACTGCCCAGTTTGCGCCAGTCTCCGTGGTCAATTTGGTTAGGGTCTCTTTTAATGTCCGATTCATTCTTTCTACCTGCCCTGAACTCTGGGGTCTATATGCACAATGTAATTTCCAATCTGCCCAAGGATGGAAGCCAGTCCCTGACTTACCTTGGACATGAAGGCTGGTCCATTGTTTGATCCTTTCATAACTGGGAAGCCATACCTGGGTAAGATCTCTTCTAGAATCTTCTTAGCTACAATCTTCGCGGTCTCACCTTTGGTTGGAAAGGCCTCAGCCCATCCTGAAAAGGTGTCTATAAAGACTAACAGACACTTATACCCATACTTTCCTGGCTTTACGTCTGTGAAATCAATCTCCTAGTAGGTTCCCGGTCTGTCCCCTCTCTGTCTCGTCCCTCTAGCCTGAGGTTTATTCCCTGCATTGTTAAGCTGGCAGACAATGCACTTTCCCACAATTTGGTCGATCATGTCAGAAACTCCCTTAATTCTCAGTCTGGTCTGCCTTACTAGGTCTTGTATCCTTCTAGAGCCTAAGTGGGTGCTGTGATGGATCTGTTCTAGCACACGCCTGCCAAGTCTTTCAGGAGGGTCATTCTTCTTCAGAGTATTCTGTTGGTTTTTTTTTTTTTTTTTGGTCCGGTCATGGGGCCTGAACTCTGGGCCTGAGCACTGTCCCTCAGCTCTTCAGCTCAAGGTTAGTGCCCTACCACTTGAGCCACAGCACCACTTCCAGCTTTTTTCTTTTTGCTTATGTGGTGCTGAGGAATCGAACCCAGGGCCTCAGGCATGCAAGGCAAGCGCTATACCACTGAGCCAACTTCCCAGCCCCTTCAGAGTATTCTGGTAAAGGAGGTAAGTAAGTCTTGTGGTCCTGGGTCTGGCAGCTGCAGGGCTAGTAATTGTGTTGGAGTTCGAGCTACCCCCTTAGCGGTCCAATTGGCCAAGTTGTTACCCCGAGAGACTGGATCTGTTGACTTTTGATGCCCTGGACAGTAGACAATTGCCAGTTTCTTGGGTTCCCATATGGCTGCTAGTAAATCTATGATTTCTTCCTTGCTTTTAGGGGGGGTCCAGTCATGGGGCCTGAACTCTGGGCCTGGGCGCTATCCCTCAGCTCTTCAGCTCAAGGCTAGCGCTCTACCACTTGAGCCACAGCACCACTTCCGGCTTTTTTCTTTTTGCTTATGTGGTGCTGAGGAGTCGAACCCAGGGCCTCATGCATGCAAGGCAAGCGCTCTACCACTGAGCCACCTTCCCAGCCCTCTTCCTTGTTTTTAATGTCCTTCCCCTCTGCTGTGAGTAGTCCCTGCTCTCTGTATATCACCCCATACACATGAGCAGTGTCAAAGGCATACTGGCTGTCAGTATATACCGTCAGCTTCCGATCTTTCCCCATCTTTAGCGCCTGGGTTAAGGCTATCAGTTCAGCCTTTTGGGCTGATGTCCCCGGAAGCAGGCATTCTGCCCACACTACTTTGGTTTCTGACACTACCGCCACCCCTGCATATCTCTGACCTTGGTGGACCAAGCTGCTTCCATCGGTGAACCACACGAGGTCTGCATCCGGTAGCGGTCAGTCCTGTAGGTTCTCTCTCACTCCGTGTACTTGAGCCAGTATTTTGGTACATTCGTGAAGCGGAGCTCCCATGTCTGGGTCTGGTAGCAGTGATGCCGGGTTAAGAGCCGTTGGGGGCGTGAAAACGATTCTGAGGATTTAGTAGTAGTCCTTGGTAGTGGGTGAGCCGGGCATTGCTAAACCACTGGCCGGGTGGTTGTTTGAGAATGCTGTCTGTGGCGTGTGGGGTGGTAACCCGCAACTCCTGTCTCATGGTCAGTTTATCAGCGTCTTTGACCGTTGATGCTGTAGCTGCTATCATCCGGAGGCACGGAGGCCACCCAGCTGCTACCAAGTCCAGCATTTTGGATAGGTAGGCAACTGGGCGTCACCAGGGGCCCAGGTGTTGGGTTAAGACTGCTTTTGCTATGCCTCAGGTCTCGTCCACAAACAATTGGAAGGGTTTGGAGATGTCAGGGAGTCCCAGAGCTGGCGCTGACAGTAAAGCCGCCTTAATCTGTTGGAAGGCTTGTTCAGCTTCCTCTGTCCAGCCAAAAGGTTGCTGATCTTTGGTAGCCTGATACAGAGGCTTAGCCAGCTCTGCAAAGCCCGGAATCCACAGCCTACAGGACCCTGCTGGCCCTAAAAACTCTCTTACTTGTCGTTATGATTGTGGCCGGGGAATGCAGAGGACTGTCTCCTTCCGAGCGGGTGTCAGCCACCTTTGCCCCCCTTTCAATAGGTATCCTAAATAGATTACCTCTGATTTGCAGATCTGAGCCTTTTTTGCTAAGGCCTATAGCCCAAGTCTCCTAAGGCTCGCAGGAGGTCTTCAGTTCCCGGGATGCAGGCTTCGGGGGTCTGGGCGGCTATTAAGAGATCATCAATGCACTGCAGGAGGGTTAAATCAGGGTGCTGTTGTCGTACTCACTCAGGTCCTCATGAAGGGCTTCATCAAACAGAGTCAGTGAGTTTTTCAATCCTTGAGTTTTTGAATCCTTGCGGCAGTGTTGTCCACGTTAGTTGGCCTTTTTGCCCCTATCAGGATCAGTCCATTCAAATGCAAAGAGTTCCTGGCTCCTTGGAGCTAGGGGCAAGCTGAAGAAAGCATCTTTTAAATCCAGAACAGTGTACCATTGTTTTTCTGGGTTCAGGGTACTTAGGAGGGTAAGGGTTGGGCACAGTTGGGTCTATGTCCATTACCGCTTGTTGACTTCCTTCAAGTCCTGTACTGGCCTATATTCGCCGCTGTTGGGTTTGCGTATGGGCAACAGCGGAGTGAGTGTTCCAAGCCGAGTGACAGGAGCGCATGATTCTCTGGTCCAGGAGGTGTCGGATATGGGATGTGATTCCCATCCGTGCTTCCATGGTCATGGGGTATTGTTGCACCCGGACGGGGTCAACTCCAGGTTTGGTCTCTATGTAAAGGGTGGTGTTTAGCCAGTCCCATTCCCCCAGTTTGTGCCCAAGCTTCTGGGAAGGGTTGAAGCCAAGAGGCTACGTTCTGATCAAGCGGGACAGATTCTTGGTGAAGTCTACACTCATCCTCCAGAGTTGGGTCAAAATGGATATGGGTTTGTTTTTAGAGTCAGTTACTTCGGGCCCATCTGGTAAGAAATGGATCTGGGCTCCCATCTTTGTCAACAGGTCCTTTCCCAGCAAGGGGTAGGGGCTTTCGGGGATGACCAAAAAGGAGCGGGTCACTTTCCCCATTCCCAAGTCCATAGTCCTTTGGGTCGTCCAAGGGTTAATTTTTAATTCCTGTGGCTTCCTGCACCCACGAGGAGTTAGCCGACAATTTTCCACCGGATTTTGTCAGGACCAATTGCTGAGCCTCAGTGTCAATGAGGAACTGAACCAGGGACCCCTCCACTTGCAGTTACCCTAGGTTCAGGGAGGGGATCCGAACCCCGTCTCCCCTAGGCTTTCGGGTCCTGGGTAACCAGCACATTGGAGACTTCTGTTGCCACTGGCCTGTCCCCCTTTTCTTTTTTTCAGGCATTCCCTTGCCCAGTGGCCTTTTTCCTTGCAATAAGCCCTGGCTGGCTTCAAACCACCATCCTCAGAGCTCAGCCTCCTGAGTAGCTAGGGAAACAGGCATGAGCCACTGGAGCTGGCTTTGAATTTTTATTTTAATGTTTTGCACATTGATTGACAGCTACTGAAAAGTGGGGAAATACCAACAGCCTTCCTATAGCTATTCAGTAACTACTCCCCTCTCTGGATCTGGGTGCAAGTGTCAACAACCATCTGGTCCCGGACGTGAACAATTGGGATGTGACTAAGCGAGCATTCCCAGACCTCCACCCGAATCTGGACTTGGGAGATAACAGCCACCTGACGTCTTGTGGTCTGGAAAAACCCAGGACTTTTACAATTTATCAGAAATAAGTTACACTAGGTCTGGAAAGGTGGCTCAGTGGTACAGCGCTTGCCTTGCATGCATGAGGCCCTGGCCCACTTGAACCACAATCCTCAGATCTCAGCCTCCTGAGTAGCTAGGATTACAAGTGTGAGCCACCAGCACCTGGCTAGTAATATTTTTTTTCTGGCCAGTAATATTAAACGTAATTCTTTTGAGCTAAACTTTTGGCTCAAGGATGTCCCAAAATAGTTGTAATTTTGTACTTATTAATTGTAATTTCAGATTTCTATAAAGTTGACTTCTAGGTGGTAACTGAATTTCTCTAACACTACTTCATAAAGACATTACTTAAAGGGCTTGTATAGCATTTTCACTGTAACATTAATGCAAAGACTAAATGGTGACCAGATCTGGATTCATTTAGAAAGGAAATAAGCAAAATCTACAATGGAGGTTTCAAATATATTTTATTCCTTCAATATATCACATTTTCATTAAGTATATAGGGCTTTCATTCAGCATCGATTATGAGTTGGTTTTGAAATAATTCAGTAGTACAGAAGCTGGCATGATTACTGATCTCTCCATTCCTTTGGGGTGACTCTGCCAACTGGGGACAGGTTCCATTCGATTCCAACCTGTGTTGCTGTCTGTAAGAATTAAAATAGCAACAGTTATACATGTTTAAATCACAGTCTACTCTCTTTGGAGCCTATTTCTTTCTTTTTGCCAGTCCTGGGGCTTGAACTCAGGGCCTGGGCACTGTCCCTGAGCTTCTTTTGCTCAAGGCCAGCACCCTACCACTTAAGCCATAGTGCCACTTCTGATTTTTTCTGTTAATGTGCTGAGGAATCAAATCCAGACCTTCTTGCTTGTTAGGCAAGCACTGTACAACTAAGCCACATTCCCAGACCTGAAGCCTATTTTTTTCTTTTTTTTTTTGGGTCAGTCATGGGGCCTGAACTTTTGGCCTGGGCACTGTCCCTAAGTTTCATCAGCTCAAGGTTAGCGCTCTATCACTTGAGCCACAACACTACTTCTGGCGTTTTCTGCTTATGTGGTGCTGAGGAATCAAACCCAGGGCCTCATGCATGCAAGGCAAGCACTCTACCCCTGAGCCACCTTCCCAGCCCATCAGTGAGACTTTTATCTCCAATGACCTACTCAAAAACAGCTCAAAATGGAGCTGTGGCTCAGCAAATAAGCTCAGAGACACCACTCAGACCCAGAGTTTGAGCACCAGGAAGGGTACCCAACAACAAAAAACAAATAAATTAAGAAACCCACCTTGACCATAGGCCCTTTATGTAAGTCAAACCTAACTGCTCTCCTAAGTCTCTAGAGCAGTGCTAGTCAACAGAGCTTCAGTGTCCAATAAGAGCTTAGGGACAGCGCCCATGCCCCACGACCAGAACCAAAAAAAAAAAAAAAAAACAACAACTAGATATGTTTAAACTCGAAAGACAAAAGATATATATAATAGCAACTTTCTTTCTTTCTTTTTTCTCTTGGTCAGTCATGGGCCTGAACTTGGCCTGGGCCCTATCCCTCAGCTCTTCAGCTCAAGGCTAGTGCTCTACCACTTGAGCCACAGCGCCACTTCCAGTTTTCTAGTGGTTTATTGGAGATGAGTTTCATGGGCTTTCCTGCCTGAGCTGGCTTTGAACTTCTATCCTCAAAACTCAGCCTCCCGAGTAGCTAGGATTACAGGTATGAGCCACCGGTGCCCTGATTCATCTTTTCTTTTTTTGTTTTTTTTTTTTGGGGGGGTCCAGTTGTGGGGCCTGAACTCTGGGCCTGGGCGCTGTCCCTCAGCTCTTCACCTTAAGACTAGCGCTCTATCACTTGAGCCACAGCGCCACTTCTGGCTTTTTCTACTTATGTGGTACTGAGGAATTGAACCCAGGGCCTCATGTATGCAAGGCAAGCACTCTACCACTGAGCCACCTTCCCAGCCTAAGAGCAATTTTCTTCTTCCTTTTTATGGTTTGAAGCTGTGGCTTAAACCCAGGGCCTTCATGTATGCTAAGCACATTCTTTTTTTTATCACTAAGCTACACTTCCAGCCTATGAGAGCAATTTTCTAGTATCTCATAGCTGTAATAGGAAAATGTGATAAATCAGAGCTTCTGTATTATAGGAGTCTTTAACTCCCATTTTCTGCAAATGGAGAACAGGAAATGTTTCTTCTTCTATTTCTCCTTAACTTTTATACTAAAATAAATCCTTAATAAAACTTTTTTTGTGTCACTCTTGGGACTTGAACTCAGTGCCTGGGTGCTGTCTCTTGGGCTTTCTTACTCAAGGCTAGTGCTCTACCACTTGAGCCAAAGCTCCACATCTGGTATTTTGGTGATTAATGGACTAGTTTCATTCACACTGCAATCCTCAGATCTCAGCCTCCTGAGTAGCTAGATTGAAAGCCAGCCTGGGCAGAAAATTCTGTGAGACTCTAATCTGCAATAAACCACTCAAAAAAGCAGGAAGTGACACTATGGATTAAGTGGTAGGAGTGCTCATAGACAGTGCCCAGGCCCAAGTTCAAGCACCAGGACCAGCAAACAAAAAACCTAACTTCTGTATAAAAACTGAATGATAGGCTGGAAGGTGGCTCAGTGGTAGAGTGCTTGCTTTGCATGCAGGAGCCCTGGGTTCGATTCCTCAGCACCACATAAACAGAAAAAGCTGGAAGTGGCACTGTGGCTCAAGTGGTAGAGTGCTAGTCTTTGAGCTGAAGAGCTGAGGGACAGCGCCCAGGTGCAGAGTTCAGGCCCCATGACCCCCCCTCAGGCCCCATGACCGCCCCCCCCAAAAAAAATGAATGATGGATAGGGTAAGAAAACATTTTTAAGGCAATGTAAGGTCTTTTGCTAAGTATGATACTGTACACCTGTAACTGTACCACCTAGGAGGCTAAAGCAGGAAATATATAAAAGTTCGAGGCCGACTTGGACATAAAATAAGATCCTAGCTGGGCACTGGTGGCTCATGCCTATAATCCTAACTACTCAGGAGGCTGAGATCTGAAGGTCACATTTTGAAGCCAGCCTAGACAAGAAAGTCTGTGAGACTTTTTTTTTTTTGGTAGTTGGGCTTGAACTGTAGGCCTGGGCACTGTCCCTCAGCTCTCCAGCTAAAGGTTAGTCTACCACTTGAGCCACAGCACCACTTCCCATTTTCTGGTTGTTATTGCAGAGTCTCACATACTTTCCTGACAAGGCTGGCTTTAAACTGCAATCCTCAGATCTATGCCTCCCGAGTAGCTAGGATTACAGGAGTGAGCCACCAGCGCCTGCTGTCTGTGAGACTCTTATCTCCAATTAACCATCAGAAAACCTGAAGTGTAGATGTGGCTCAAAGTGGTACAGCACTAGCCTGGTGCAAAAGAGACCGGGGATAGCACCCAGGTCCTGAGTTCAAGCCCTACAACAAACAAAAAAAGACCTTAAAAAAAACATTTTAGAGGACTAAGAGTATGATTCAAACAATAGAGCAACAGCCTAGCAAGGACAAAGCCCTGAATTCAAACTCTAGCGTTGTCAAAAAAATATCCCCCAACGCTTTAGACAGCTTTACGCTGTAGCCCATATCACCTTCAACATCCAATCCTCCTATCTTGGCTCCTGGATCAACGTAAGACCTTTTAAGAGCACCATAATATAAAAAGGACTGCCTAGTGACCTAGTAAATAATTTGGTATTAGACATGTTAAAGAAAAGATGAGGGGCTGGGAAGGTGGCTCAGTGGTAGAGCACTTGCCTTGCATACATGAGGCCCTGGGTTCGATTCCTCAGCACCACATAAGCAAAAAAAAAGCCGGAGTGGTGCTGTGGCTCAAGTGGTAGAGCGCTAGCTGAAGAGCTGAGGGACAGCACCCAGGCCCACAGTTCAGGCCCCACAACTGGACCCCCCCCAAAAAAAAAGATGAAGCAGGGCACCGGTGGCTCACACCTGTAATCCTAGCTACTCGGGAGGCTGAGATTTGAGGATAGAGGTTCAAAGCCAGCCTGGGCAGGAAAGCCCATGAGACTTTTATCTGCAATAAACCATCAGAAAACTAGAAGGGGCACTGTGGCTCAAGTGGTAGAGCACTAGCCTTGGGCTTAGGAACAGTGCCCAGGCTCAGAGTTCAGGCTCCATGACCAACCAAAAAAAAAAAAAGATGAATGGTGAATGTTGAGGAAGAAATATTTGAACTGGGGAGATGATTAGATAAGATAATCTTTCAAATCTCTTCTGTAACAGAAATGACTACCATGTTAAAGCATTTTAAATATAAATGAGAATGAAAAATATCTAAAGTAAGCATTATTGGGACTGGGAGTGATACATTACTTGCCTCACATGAGTAACACTTGAGTACAATCCTTAGCACTGCAAGAAAAAAAAAAGTGGAGCTGGGAAGGTGGCTCAGTGATAGAGCGCTTGCCTTGCATGCATGAGGCCCTGGGTTCGATCCCTCAGCACCACATAAGCAAAAAGAAAAAAGCTGGAAGTGACGCTGTGACTCAAGTGGTAGAGCGCTAGCCTTGAGCTGAAGAGCTAAGGGACAGCGCCCAGGCCCAGAGTTCAGGCCCCATGACCGGACCCCCCCCCAAAAAAAACCCAACAGTACTTACATAAGTCCATGTAGCAAGACAAAAAGTGATTCCACCAGCTAATATAGCATTACCATATTTGTCATGGAAATCAGGTGCTCTTTTCTGGTGGCTCTGCCTTGCCATTGTTTGCTGAATGCTTCGAACTTAAAGAGAAAAAAAAAAAAACAACCAACAAATATAGAGCAAATACAAAAATATATCTATTAAAAATATATCTATTAATTATTATGAAAGGAAATTGATACCACAAATAAGGAAAGCCAATGAGATTTACTTTACAGTATTACACACCAGTAAAAATGGCAAAACGCGATGAATATAAAAGCACAGTAACATTTTTTTTTTGGGGGGGGGGGTCGGTCGTGGGGCTTGAACTCTGGGCCTGGGCGCTGTCCCTCAGCTCTTCAGCTCAAGGCGAGCGCTCTACCACTTGAGCCACAGCGCCACTTCCGGTTTTCTGGTGGTTTATTGGAGATAGGAGTCTCAAGGTCTCTCCTGCCCGGGCTGGCTTTGAACCGCGATCCTCAGATCTCAGCCTCCTGAGTAGCTAGGATTACAGGCGTGAGCCACCAGTGCCCGGCACAGTAACATATTTTGAAATTCACCAAAGACAAGACAGACAAGCAGATTAATACATAAAACAAATATAGTGCCAGGTGCTGATGGCTCAAGGCTGTAATCCTAGCTACTCAGGAGGCTGAGATGTGAGGATTTCAGTTTGAAGCCAGACCAGGAGGAAAAGTCCATGAAACTATTATCTGTAATAAATGACCCTCTCCCAAAAAGCCAGAAGTGGAGCAGTGGCTCAAGTGGTAGAGTGCCAGCCTTGAGAAAAATAATCAGGGACAGGGCCCAGGAACCCAGTTCAAGCCCCACAACTGGCACATGTACACACTCACACACAGAGAATTTATTCTTTTTGTTGTTGTTGGCTATAGGGCTTGAGCTCAAGGCCTAGACCCTATCCTTGCACTTTAGTTCTCAAGGACAGCACTTTTAGTACTCAAGGATAGCGCTCTGCCACTTGAGCCACAGCTCCACTTCTGGCTTTTAGTGGCTAACTAGAGATAAGACTTTTTTGCCCAAACTAGCTTTGAACTGCAATCCTCAGATGTCAGCCTCCTGAGCAGCTAGGATTATAGGCATGAGCTACCAATACCCAGCAAAAAAGTTTTCAAACTGCCCCTATGTGTATTAAGGAAAAGAATTTAAGAAAGAACCAAGAACTAAAAATGTTTTTTTCCAATACTTTTTTCTAAATTATTCCTTTCCAATTTAAGTAGCAAGTCTTTACTGTTTAAAGAACCTTGGGAAAGCCGGGCGCCAGTGGCTCATGCCTGTAATCCTAGCTACTCAGGAGGCTGACATCTGAGGATCAAGATTCAAGGACAGCTTGGGCAGGTAACTTTGTGAGACTCTGATCTCCAATAAATCACCAGAAAACCTGAAGTGGCGCTGCGGCTGAAGTGGTAGACTGCTTTCCTTGAGCTGAAGAGCAAGCACAGAGACAGTGCCCAAGCTTAGAGCTCAAGCCCACGACCGACCAAAAAAAAAAAAAAAGAACCTTGGAAAGTATTTGAATGTTTGGTTTGGTTTTTGTTGGTCATGGGGCTTGAACTCAGGGCCTGGGCATTGTCCCTGAGCTCTTCAGCTCAAGGCAGGTACTCTACCATTTGAGCCAAAGCACCACTTCCGGAGTCCTGGTAATTAATTGGAGGTAAGAGTCTCACGCATGGACTTTGCTGCCCAGGCTGGCTTTGAACTGCGATTCTCAAATCTGTCTTCACAAGTTGCTAGGATCACAGGCGGTATCCACCAGCGCCTGGTTCCAGGTGGATTGCTTTACACTTTACAGACAAAAAATGGTGTCAATGCCTTTCGCTGGTAATGTCATATAATCTTCAACAAAGTCCCCATTTTACAAATTAGAAAGTAGGATTAGAAAAATTAAATCATTACCCAAAGTAAAAGTGGTAATCAATGCAGCTACTGGCCTAGGAAAAACTACTCTATTTTTCAATTACGTTTGAAGTACCTGGAGTGTTTAGAATACAATCTAGTAACACGCTGAAATCTTTGAAAAATATAAACCAAAATATGGGTACAGAAGCTAATGCTACTTGAGTAAGGTCACCTTCCTTCACATTACTCAAGGTCACCTTCCGGGGAAATCAAGTCTGGAAATCCATTTTCTTTCTCTCTCTCTCCCTCTCGACTTCTCTCCCTCTCATCTAGTATATTATCGATATATAATGCTGTCCTGAAATGTACCTGGACCTGCCTAACTTTTAGAATTTGAAAAGAAATGAGAACGACTGCTTTCAGAGCAATTGCTTCTCTGTAGACTTAGGAGTCAATACAGTCCCAAGGGTAAAATTTGGAATATAAGGAGAAGAAAGGTATCCATGAAATGCTCTTGCTTGAGATTCTCTCCCTGAACAATTAAAGTACAGTGCCCAGCTCTCGATAGCAGACAGCAATCTTGAAAGGCAACAATGAAAAACAGTGGGTGACAATGGTAATGGCAAGCCTTGGCGGAAACAGACTCGGCATTTAGAATGAGATGGTCAGGATTTGGAGGCGCGAAAGACCAAAAGGACAGATGTAAGGAAGCTGTAAATGACTTCCTCACAATTTTTGCTCACCTTGGAGACGGCTTACAGCGTTTTTGGCCAAGGAAAACATCGCGGACCTGTAGCTAAGACAAAAGCAACGGCGGCTGGGCTGGACGACGCGAATTCTCCTTAGGTACCCTTGCAAAGAACCCTGAAAAACAAAATGGCTTTCACTTAAGACCTGTAATGAGATTTGGCGATATCTCGCGAGATTTTTAAGCCAGGAAACCTGCAGTTCTTTATATCGCGACAAAAGTCTTAATGCCTTTTGGGAAATGTAGTTTCAATGCTGCGTGTGTCTGTATCACTGTCTGGGTGTCACTGTCTCTGAATGTCTGTGTGTGCTAGCCCTAAGGCGAGGAACTCAGGGTTTGGGCTTGGTTTTTCTTTTTTACTCAAGGAGCCATACCTCCACTTAAGGTTTTTGTTGTTATTGTTGTTGGTTAATTGAAGATTCTCCACCGCTTTTCCGCCTGGCCTGGGCTGGCTTCCAACCCAAATCCTCAGATCTCAGCTTCCTGAGTAGTGAGAATTACATTGCAGAAATGAGCCACTGGCGCCCTGGCATTTTATAAGTACCATCTGATAGAAGTCAGAAAGCTCCTAGAAGAAAGGTTTACTGATCTGTAGAGGAGAACTGCATCACTGTTCTTTCTGCTCCTTCAAAACTCATTTTCTATCTCCACTTACCCCAAACTAATTGGTCAAACTCTGTGTGTGTTTGTGTGTGTGTGTGTGTGTGTGTGTGTGTGTGTGTACACTGGGGCTTGAACTAAAAGCACTGAGCTCTCTCTTGAATTTTTTACTAAAGCCTAGGGTTCTGCCACTTAAGCCACAGCTCCAGTTCCACTTTACTTTTAATTTTGAAATAATTCCAAATTTAGAAAAAAGTCAGACAAGTACTGGTGGCTCACAGGTATAATCCTAGTTGCTCAAGAATCTGAGACCTTAAGATCATGCTTCGAGGCCAGTCCCCACAGGAAAGTCTGTGACACCCTTAGCACCAATTAGTCACCAAAACCCCGTAAGTGGAGCACCAGCCTTGAGCAAAACACACTAAAGGACAGTGCCCAGGCCCTGAATTCCAGCCTTAGTATTGCACAAAATAAGAGAAAGAAGAGAAGGAGGCAGAGAAAGGAAAAGAGATCACAGAATTGTAAGAAGCCTACCAAAGTAACCCCAAGCTGAAGCAGGAAGATTGTGAGTTCTGGTCCAGCCTGATCTACAAAGCTAGACTCCACCTCAAATATAAGGAAAAAAGTTTTCCTAGGGACATAAAAGGAAACCCCCAATTGGAAGTATAGGAAGAAAGAAAGACTCCAGTAAAATAAGAAAGAATGAGGAGGAAGAGGAGGAAGAAGAGGAGGAGGAAGAGGAGGAATAAGAGGAGGAGGAGAAGGAAGAGAAGGAGGAGGAGGAAGATGAAGAAGAAAGAAGGAAGAAGAAGAAAGAATGAGAAGGAAAATCCAGCTCCTGAATTTTCAAAAGTCAAAACAAAAATTCCTAAGCACTCTCCCATTAAAGAGGAACCCTGTGATTCTTTATCTGAAACTGTAAGCGTAAATTGAGAAACAACAACAACAAAGCCTGGTTCTTCAACGAACCACCCCACCAAGACTCTCCACTCCCCAAAAAGGGACCCATTGCCCATTCTAAGGAGAAAGATTTTCACAAGTGAGATAGAAGATGTGCCATACCTTTCCACACCACACACAGCACTGTATTTATGTCATTGGCACTAGCCTGCCCCATCACCATTGCCACTACAAGAATCCTCTCCAGGCCGGGCGCTGGTGGCTCACACCTGTAATCCTAGCTACTCAGGAGGCTGAGATCTGAGAATCACAGTTCAAAGCCAGCCCGGACAGGAAAGTCCGTGAGACTCTTATCTCCAATAAAAACCACTAGTAAACCGGAATTGGTGCTGTGGCTCAAGCGGTAGAGCGCTTGCCTTGAGCTGAAGAGCGCACGGACAGTGCCTAAGCCCAGAGTTCAAGCCCCACAACCGACCAAAAAAAAAAAAAAGGAATCCTCTCCAAAGAATGTGGCTCAGTGGTAGGGTAGAGTGCTTGCCTTGTATGCATGAGGCCCTGGGTTCAATTCCTCAGCACCACATAAACAGAAAAAGCTGGAAATGGTGCTGTGGCTCAAGTGGTAGAATAATAGCTTGAGCTGAAGAGCTGAGAGACAGTGCCCAGGCCCAGAGTTCAGGCCCCACAACCTACCAAAAAAAAAAAAGGAGACATAGTAAATAAGGCAAAGAATATTTGCTCTTATACCCTAGTGGTGTCAATCAAGCTAATAATTATAAAAATGCCTTTGTATTTTTAAATTATTTATTGTTATTCTAAAGCTGATATACAGAGGGGTTACAGTTACATAAGTTTGGTATTTTTTTTGTCTTTGTTTTTGTTTTTTTTGTTGGTCATGAGGCTGAACTCTGGGCCTAGGCACTGTCCCTCAGCTCTTCAGCTAAAGGCTAGTGCTTTACCACTTGAGCCACAACACCACTTCCAGCTTTTTCTGCTTGTGTGGTGCTGAGGAATCAAACCCAGGGTCTCATGCACGTGAGACAAGCACTCTACCACTGAGCCACCTTCCCAGCCCAGCTGTTATATTTTATTGTAAGGGTGATGTACAAAGAGATTATGCTTATTTATGTAAGTCAGATATTGAATATATTTCTTTTTGAAAAGTGTCATGCCCCCTGCATTTTTAAACAATCAATCAAGCAGGGTACTGTCTAGAATGGGTAAATTTTTATGCTGGACACCTTTGGCTCACACCTCTCATGGACTTTTTTGCCTGGGCTGGCTTCCAACTGCAATCCTCAGATCTCAGCCTCCTGAGTAGATAGGATTATAAACATGAGCCATTGGTGCTCAGGTTGAATAAAATATTTTTTAAAAACCCACAAAGTGGGGTTCAGAATGTGGTTTAGTGGTAGAGTGCTTGCCTAGCATGCATGAAGCCCTGGGTTCTATTCCTCAGCACCTCATACACAGAAAAAGCCAGAAGCGGCACTGTGCTAGCCTTTAGCAAAAGGTGTTTAGGTTCAGTGGTCAGACCCTGAGTTCAAACCCCAGGACTAGCAAAAAACCCACAAAAGACTAGAGTCATGTATCAACATATAGTAACCTCTGAGTTCAATCCTAATACTTCCAAAAGAATGTGAAAATTAAAATGTGGTGTTTATTGAATATTATCAAGTCACCCTATATAGATAGGGTATGATTTGCATTTCCTCAACAACATGTAAGAGTGCCTATTTTACCTTTGTTTATGGCTTATATTGTATAACTTTTGTATTTTTGTCAATATGATTCATGAGATATCTCTCTTTTTTATTTATTTATTTTTTTGGTCGGTCATGGGCTTGAACTGTGGGCCTGGGCCCTGTCCCTGAGCTGGTGTGCTTAAGGCTAGTGCTCTACCACTTGAGCCATGGTACCACTTCCACTTCTGATTTTCTGGTGGTTTATTGGAGTCTTAAGAGTCTCACAGACTTTCTTTCCCTGGGCTGGCTTTGAACTGTGCTCCTCAGATCTGTCTCCATAGTAGCCAGGATTACAGGCATGAACCACCATCACCCCGACTCTCACGTTTTCTCTTTGAGACTTTAAAATTTTTAAATTTTAGGGCTGGGAAGGTGGCTCAGTGGTAGAGTGCTTGCCTTGTATGCATGAGGCCCTGGGTTCCATTCCTCAGCACCACATAAGCAAAAAGAAAAAAGCTGGAAGTGGCGCTGTAGCTCAAGTGGTAGAGCGCTAGCCTTTAGCTGAAGAGCTGAGGGACAGTGTCCAAGCCCAGAGTTCAGGCCCTATGACCGGACCCAAAAACAAAACAAAACGTTTAAATTTTAGGGGGGATGGGGAGAACTGGGGTTTGAACTCCTTTAGCTTTTCCCTCTTTCCCCTTTGTTCTACCACTTGAACCACAGCTCCACTTCTGGTTTCTGGTGGTTAATTGGAGATTATGAATCTCATGAACTTTTCCTGCCCAGATTGGCTTCGAATCATGAGCCTCAGCTCTCAGCTTCCTGGTAGCTAGGATCACAAGTTTGAGCCACCTGCGCCTGTTTTTTTGTTGTTGTTGTTGTTGGTCGTGGGGCTTGAACTCGGGGCTTGGGCGTTGTCCCTGTGCTCTTCAGCTCAAGGAGAGCACTCTACCACTTGAGCTACAGTGCCATTTCCGGTTTTCTGGTGGCTTATTGGAGATAAGAGTCTCACAGAGTTTCCTGCCCTGGCTGGTTATGAACCATGATCTTCAGATCTCAGCCTCTTGAGGATTACAGGCGCAAGCCACCGCATCCGGCTTGACTGTTTTTTTGTTTTGTTTTGTTTTTTGGTCAGGTCTGCCTATGTAGCCCAAGCGGAAGCGGAAACTATCTCAGGCTCGAGTGCTGGCATTGCAAGTATACGCCACCACACCCTGCTTTTTCAAATTCTTACTCATATTGCACTTAAAAATAAAAAACAAAAAATAAACCTTCCAGTTATATTAAGTATATTTTTGTTTTCCTACTTTTTTCTTTTTCAAATACTTGGGATTAAATGAAATGGATTTCAAGGAATTTTAAACGAGTCTTGGGGAGACAATTGCGTTTTAGCAACTCCAAGCTATTTTGAACTGAAAATACCCGCAGCATTCCACAACTGCGCACGCGTGTTTCACAGCCGCTCAGCTCGACATCTTTTCCCAGCACGAAAGGGGAGGCCCATAATTTTTAACGGACCAATGAAAAACCTCCAGATGATCCTCTTCCTATTGGCTAACGGAGACCAATTAGAGGCGAACTGTCTTTTAGCGGGCGTCTAGCCGTAACGCGCTGTGACGTTATGGGAGGGGTCGCCTACCAGGGCTAAGTTTAGCCAATGAGGAAAGAGAAGGGGTGGGTTTCCCAGTTCTCACGTCCATCCCACATACCCAGCCAAAGGAAAGTTTGGCTTACCCCGGGGAGAGGAGCGAACATGGCAGCGCGTCGGTGGTTTTGGTCTATCTCTGCGACTTTGGCCATGGCGCTGCTGCTCTTGTACAAGATTCCTTCAGCTTCTGCCCAAAGAAAAAAGGAGGTGAGGACACAGTTTTTAGCACCAGAGGCTTTTCCCACTGCGAGAGGCTTGACTGGGTCTGTGGATTCCTTCCCGCTTTCCTTTCCCTGTCCCCGCCACTTTCTGGGCTTTTGGTATCTTTTAACCCCATCGTTTTCGAGTTATTGCTTTGCGAAGGAAGGAAAGGCAAACTTCATGTCTTGTGAGAGTGGGGTGGAATAAGTGGCCACCTGGCTTCTACGGGCTGGGACAAGTTTGGCCACTTCTCTGTGAGTTGGGGCCCCATAGGGTGTTGGGGCTGGAGGCTAGATCCAGGGTGCAAAATATAAAGAGAGGCTTTCCGATGTTGGCAAATGTTAACTCCTCCGACATGTACAACAGCTTTGGTGCCTTTTTCAGTTCTGGATGTGGAAATAAGAGCGAAGTGAAATTAAACCAGGTTGATCAACCGCGTAGATCAGCCAACAAATATTCCGTGTGCTTGACATACACACATGAACAAAAGTGCAATTCCCTCCTGGTGGAACTTACAGGCTTTGGGAAATCCAAAAGATCTATCTATCTATCTATCTATCTATCTATCTATCTATCTATCTACCCACCCACCTACCTATCTACTCATGCTTAAGCAAGCTAAGCAGACCAGTTTGAGCATTGTGGTTTAAAACATTTGTGACTTACATCTTTGTACTCTCAGAACTTAAAAAAAAATCTTAGTAGGGGCTGGGAAGGTGGCTCAGTGGTAGAGTGCTTGCCTTGCATGCCTGAGGCCCTGGATTCTGTTCCTCAGCACCACATAAGCAGAAAAAGCCGGAAGTGGTGCTGTGGCTGAGTGGTAAAGCACTAGCCATGAGCTAAAGCGCTGAGGGACAGTGCCCAGGCCCAGAGTTAAGGCCCCACGACTGACAAAAAAAAATCTTAGTAGCAATCGTTTGTACCCTCAAATTTTATTTTATTTTTTGTCCTTTCTTTTTTGGTACTGGGGATCAAACCCAGGACGTTGCACTTGCTAGGCAAGTGCTTTGCCACTAAACTACTTCCTAGCTCACCTGCTAAGTTTATATGAGAAAAACCAGTTTGTACAGTTAACTAAGGTAGAACGAGGAGTAAACCAGATCAGCCATTCTAATCCTACATTCTGTTCACAAAGTCACTCAGACATTTCTTGTGTTAATTTCTGCTGAATTAAGAATGAAGCTATCTTCTGTATGCCTTTTTTCTATTTCTTTATTAAAGGGATTTATTTTTTTTTGGGGGGGGTCCGGTCGTGGGGCCTGAAGACCGTCCCTTAGCTCTTCAGCTCAAGGCTAGCACTCTACCACTTGACCCACAGCGCCACTTTTGGCTTTTTTTTCTGCTTATGTGGTGCTGAGGAATCGAACCCAGGGCCTCATGCATGGTAGCTAGCGCTCTACCACTTGAGCCACAGCGCCACTTCTGGGTTTTTCTTTTTGATTATGTGGTGCTGAGGAATCAAACCCAGGGCCTCATGCATGCAAGGCAAGCGCTCTACACTGAGCCACCTTCCCAGCCCCTATTAAAGGGATTTAATAAGACAGTAAATCTCTACAGAGCTCTATACATCTCTTTCATAAAATTCTTTGATCAAATTCACTATTTCTATTGCTCTTATCTCCCTTCTGGAGAGATTTCTGTGTGTCTGAACTCTTCCATAAAAATCAAAGCTAGGGGCTGGGAAGTTGGCTCAGTGGTAGAGCGCTTGCCGTGCATGCCTGAGGCCCTGGGTTTGATGCCTCAGCACCATATAAGCAAAATGAAAAAAGCCGGAAGTGGCGCTGTGACTCAAGTGGTAGAGCGCTAGTCTTGAGCTGAAGAGCTGAGGGACAGCACCCAGGCCCAGAGTTCAGGCCCCACGACCGGACCCAAAAAAAAAAATCAAAGCTAAGCTAACTAATTAAAACAATGAGTTAAGACTGGCAATGTCCCTGAGCTTCTTTTGCTCAAGGCTAGCACCCTACCACTTGAGTCACAACATCACGGCCTCTTCTGTTTATGTAGTACTGAGGAATCAAACTCAGGACTTCATGCATGCTAGGCAAGCAACTCTACCACTAAACCACATTCCTAATCCAGTAATTTTTCTTTAACTCTCCAGCACTTTTTTTTGTTTGTTTTGTCAGTCGTGGGGCTTGAACTCTGGGCCTGGGTGCTGTCCCTAGCTCTTCAGCTTAAAGCTAGCGCTCTACCACTTGACCCACAGCACCACTTCCGGCTAAAAAAGCTGCTTATGTGGTGTTGGGAATCGAACCCAGGCCTCATGCATGCAAGACAAGCGCTCTACCACTGAGCCAACTTCCCAGCTACCCCTGAGCTTCTTTTGCTCTAGGCTAAAACACTCTACCACTTGAGCCAAAGCTCCACTTCTGGCTTTTTTGGTGCTTACTTGGAGATAAGAGTCTCTCATAACCAGGTGCTGATGGCTCATGCCTGTAATCCTAGCTACCTACTCAGAAGGCTGAGACCTGAGGATCCCAGTACAAAGACTCTTATTTCCAATTAACCAACCCAAAACTAATGTGGATCTACGCCTCAAAGTAGTAGAGCATTAGCCTTGAGCAAAAAAGCTCAGGGACATTGCCCAGGCCCAGAATTCAAGCCCCCACCCCCCAAAAAAGTCTCACAAACTTTCCTGTCCTGGATGGTTTCAAACCGTAATCCTCAGATCTCAGTCTCCTGAGTAGTATTACAGGTGTGAGCCCCCAGTGTCCAGTTGTCTGTTTTTCAGACAGATGTAATTGTAGCCCAGGCTGGCCTCAAACTTGTAATCCTCCTAAAGGTGGGCACTGATGGCTCATACCTGTAATCCTAGCTTCTCAGGAGGCTAAGATCTGCAGTCGGGGTTCAAAGCCAGCCCAAGGGAGAAAGTCCCTGAGACTCTTGTATCCAATTAACCACTTGAAAAGTGGAAATTGAGCTGTGGCTCAAAGTGGCAGCACTAGCCTTGAGCAAAAAAAGCACAGAGGGCTGGGAAGGTAGCTCAGTGTTAGAGTTCTTGCCTAGCATACATGAGGCCCTGGTTTCCATTCCTCAGCACCACATAAGCAGAAAAAGCCAGAAGTGGTGCTGTGGCTCAAGTGGCAGAACACTCTCCTTGAGTTGAAGAGCTGAGAGACAATGCCCAGGCCTAGAGTTCAGGCCCCAGGACTGACCAAAAAAAAAAAAGCACAGAGAGTGCCCAGGTCTTGAGTTGAAGCCCCACAACTGACAACAAACAAAAACCTGCTGGATGCCAGTAGCTCCTGCCTATAATCCTAGCCACTCAGGGGGCTGAGATCTGAGGGTCATGTTTCAAAGCCAGCTCGGGTAGGAAATATGTGAGACTCTTATCTCCAATAATCCACTCAGAAACCGGATGTGGCGCTGTGGGCTCAAGTGGTAGAGCGCTAGCCTTGAGCTGAAGAGCTGAGGGACAGCACTCAGGCCCAGAGTTCAAGCCCCAGGACTGACCAAAAACAAAAAAAACTTGTGACCTTCCTGCCTTACTTCCCCAGATGGCAGATCTGTGTCAATCATGCCTGTCAAAATTATATTTCTTGACTTGCTTCTCAGAATCTAAATATGGAAAAGGGTGAATGCACAGAGTATTCTGAAGCATAGTAAAAATGTTTGTAGTAATGTTTACATGGCAGGTCTTCTGCTTCTCAAGTCTCAAAAAAAAAGTGTAGCTAGACACTGGTAGCTCAGTGCTTATAATCCTAGCAACTCAAGAGACAGATCTGAAGATTGCAATTCAAAGCCACCTTTGACAGGAAAGCCGGTGAGACTCTTAACCAGTTAACCATCAGAAAACTGGAAGTGGCACTGTGACTGAAAGTGGTAGAGCACTGTCGTTGAGCAAAAGAGCCCAGGGACAGCACCCAGGCCCTGAGTTCAAGCCCCATGACTAATAAGGAAACAAAACAAAGCAAGAACTTTAAAAAAGATATGATTTAATCTCACTCAGGTAATCTTTAGCAAGTTAGCAAGTCTCATTTTCCTCAGTACAATTGAGAAAATACCTATTTCTGTGGCTGCTGTGAAAATTAAATAAGATACAATTCCATCCAGAAGACCCTTGGCCTATGGAAAGCATTAGATGATATGGCTGATATAGTTTGCTTGCATATATGAAAGTAAAACTGAAACCTGTTAAAATTGTTTAAAAGGCAGGAGGTAGTAGGATAAGGCAGAAGGCGAAGGTTTTGCTTTATTGTCATGTTACTTAAACAATGTTAAAATTTTGTAAGTTTTTTTTTTGTCAGTTTTGGGGTCTGGGCTCTCAAGCCCTGAGCTCTTTTGATCAAGGCTAGTGCTCTACTACTTTGAGCCACAGTGCTACTTACAGCTTTTTCTGAGTAGTTTATTGGAGATAAGAGTCTCATAGAAACCAGGTGCTGGTGGCTCACGCCTGTAATCCTAGCTACTCCGGAGGCTGAGATCTGAGGATCATAGTTCAAAGCCAGCTCAGGCACCCAAGTCTGTGAGACTCTTATCTCCAATAAACCACTCAGAAAACCCGGAAGTAGCCCTGTGGCTCAAGTGGTAGAACGCTAGCCTTGAACTGAGGAGCTGAGGGACAGTGCTCAGGGCCAGAGTTCAAGCCCCATGACCAACCAAAAAAAAAAACCAAAACTAATTGATAATGCAACCCTTCACCCCAAAAACGAACCACTTAAAAATCATCAAGCAAAGATACAGTGATATATTTTAACAATATCCAGAAAGTGAAGTGACTATCCAGGAATGAAACACATGGTATTTACAGATTTAAAGTGCTCTTCTCTGCTCACTGTCTGTCTCCTGAAGTAATTATCTGTCCAATTATATTTCTGTATCTGTTCAGTTTCACTCTTAATTCATGGATGGAGTTGGAAATGTATTGCTTAGCCAGAAATTTCATTTTAGTAACATCTGAAGACTGGTAAGTGATTAGGAAAACTAAAAACATGAATTTTTGTTTATATTAATTGCACGTAGTAAAGGGTTTCATTATGACATTTCCACTCATAGATACAATGTACTTCGATTATATGCATCACTCTGCTGCTCTGGCTTACCTACCTGCTACTCTCCCCCTCCCCCTGTTGTTACCTCTTCCTTCTTTTTCTCCCAGTTTCTTGTTTTAGTTTTTGTTTGCTGGTTCTGAGGCTTCGACTGTTGGCCTGAACACTGGCCCCTGAGCTTCTTTTGCTCAAAGCTAACACTCTACCACTTGATCCACAGCTCCACTTCCAGAGTTTTGTGTTTAATTGGTGATAAGAGTCTTTTGGAGCTGGGAGACAGTAGCTCACACCTATAATCTTAGCTGCTCAGGAGGTTGAGATCTGAGGATCACAGTTTGAAGCCAGCCCAGGCAGAAAAGTCATGAGACTCTTATTTCCAATAAATTACTCAGAAAAAGCTGGAAAAGCTCATAGTGAGAGTGCTAGCCTTGAGCATAAAGAGGCTCAGGGACAGTGCCCAGGCCCTGAGTTCAAGCCCCAGGACCAGCAACAATAATAACAACAACAACAAATCTCCTGGACTTTCCTGCCTGGATTGGCCTTGAGCTATAATCCTCAGTTCTCAGCCTCCTGAGTAGCTAGTTACACACATGAGCCACCATTTTCTGGTTAATAATGGCTTTAAAATATAGAATGTGTATTTCGAAGCTAAGAACCAACATTGTGGGGCTGGGAAGGTGGCTCAGTGGTAGAGTGCTTGCCTTGCATGCCTGAGGCCCTGGGTTCGATTCCTCAGTACCACATAAGGAAGAAGCCGGAAGTGGCGTTGTGGCTCAAGTGGTAGAGTGCTAGCCTTGAGCTGAAGAGCTGACGGACAGTGCCCAGGCCCAGAGTTCAAGCCCCACGACTGGACCAAAAAAAAAAAAAGAACCAACATTGTCTGACCTGAAGCAGAAGTGACAGTCTCTTGAGGCTGTTTTATTTTTTTAGTGGCAAAGCATGGAATTGAATAGAGAAATTGCTTCATTAAAGGAAACTGTGGGCTAGGCTTAGGTGACTCCAGAGCTTCTTGAGGCAGACTTGGTCAGCACTTCCCCCTTAGCCCATCTTCCCATTGATCAGTTTCTTGCTCCCTTCATTGGCTGGTCTGGATGAGAAGTGTGTGTTTAGTTCCTTTTAGGTTTTTTTGTTGTTGGTCGTGGGGCCTGAACTCTGGGCCTGGGCACAGTCCCTCAGCTCTTCAGCTCAAGGCTAGCACTCTACCACTGAGCCACCTTCCCAGCCCTAGTTCCTTAGTTTTTAAGACACTGTGCAACCTTAAAGATACCCAGTTTCTCCACATCCTCTTTAAGGTCATTCTATTTTTACTTTATTAACAAACATATGTTGCTATTTCTCTTTACTTTTTTATTTTTATGGTGCTAAGGTTCAAACTCAGGCCTTTGTGCTTACAAGGCAAGTGCTCTACCACTTGAGCCACATCCCCAGCCTAGCAGTGATATCTCATTAAATTTTTTTTTTGCGGGTCTTGGGACTTGAACTCAAGGCCTGGGCACTGTCTCTGTGTATGTGGTACTGAGGAATCAAACCCAGGGCTTCATACATGCTAGGTAAGCACTCTACCACTAAGCCATATACTCAGGCTGGATTGTTTTTCATAAGGTTAATACTCTACCTCTTGAGCCACAACACTACTTCTGGCTCTTTTAGTGGTTAATTGGAAATAAGAGTTTCATGGACTTTTCTGCCCCAGATGGCTTCAAACCATGATTCTCAAATCTTAGCCTCTTTATAGCTAGGATTACAGGCGTATGAGTCACTGGCACCCTGGCTCTTACTGTGTTCTTAATGATGTTGAACATTTTCTTATGCTGGTAGGGATTGAACCCAGGGTCTAACTTAATGAAGATCTTCCTTTGTCTATGTTTGCCATCTTTTTCTTTTTTGCTAGTCCTGGGGCCTGAACTCTGGGCCTGGGCACTGCCCCTGAGCTCTTCAGCTCAAGCCGAGCGCTCTACCACTTGAGCCACAGCACCACTTCTGTTTTTTTCTGTTTATGTGGTGCTGAGGAATCGAACCCAGGACCTCCTGCATGCTAGGCAAGCACACTAGCACTGAGCCACCTTCCCAGCCCTCATATAGTTTTTCTTTGTTGTTTTTTTTTACTCATTTTCTAGTTTAGCTATGTGATTTTTTTTCTTTCGGTCCTGGGGCTTGAACTCTGGGCTTAGACGCTATCCTTGCACTCTTCAGCTCAAGGTGAGCACTCTACCTCTTGAGCCACAGTGCCACTTCTGGTTTTCTAGTAGTTTATTGGAGATAAGAGTCTCCCGGATGTTCCTGCCCAGGCTGGCTTTGAACTGTGATCCTCAGATCTCAGCCTCCTGAGTAGCTAGGATTACAGGTGTGAGCCACCAGCACCCAGCTGCTATGTGATTTTTTAAAGTATTGAATTGATTTTTTCTAGCTAGTTCTGGGACTTGAACGCTGCACCTGGTTGCTGTTGTCAACTGAGCTTTTTTGCTCAAGTCTAGCTTGAGTTGTTTTTTTGTGTAGGTGTACCTTTGCCAGCATTGGAGCTTGACCTCAGGGCCTCTTGCTCTTGTGTAGCTTTTTCTCTAAGGGCTAGTGGTACTCTACTATTTGAACTACTTCTGGCTGTTTATTGGTTAATTGGAGATAAAATTGTCATGGAGACCAGTGTTATACGTGGCTCCCAACCATAATACTAGCTACTCATGGGGTTGAGATCTGGAGATTGCAATTTCAAAGCCAGCTGGGGAAGGAAAAATCCATGAGACTCTTATGTCCAGTGAAGTGCCAAAAAGCCAGAAATGGACTTTTGGCTTAAGTGGTAGACCACCCAGCCTTGAGCAGAAAAAGCTAAGTGAAAGCAAGAGGACCTGAGTTCAAGCTTCAGTACTGGCACAAAAAATGTCTGTATATGTGAATGTGTATATGTATATACCTAGTCTGGAGGCAAGGCTCAAGTGGCAGAGCACCAGACTAGCAAGAGCTAGTCTGAATTCAAAGGCTCTGAGTTCAAACCTGGGTACCACTAATATATATATATATATATGGCTGTATATGTAAGTATGCATGTCTGTATATGTATATATGTACATAACATGTAAGCTATTAATAATTTTTAATATAGTTAAAAATTTTTTTTTTCTGGGCTGGCAGTGTGCCTTAGTGGTAGAACGCTTTCCTAGCATGCATGAAGCCCTGGGTTCGACTCCTCAGTACCATATCTACAGAAAAAGCTGGAAGTGGCGCTGTGGCTCAAGTGTTAGACCTCTAGCCTTGAACACAGAGAGGCTCAAGGATAGAGCCCAGGCCCTGAGTTCAACCACCAGGACTGGCAAAAAAAATTCTGTTGGGTGCTGGCGGCTCAAACCTGTAATCCTAGCTACTCAGGAGGCTGAGATCTGAAGATCAAGGGTCATAGCCAGCTGGACAAGAAAAGCCCATGAGACTCTTATCCTCCGCTAACTAGCAAAAAAAACCAGAAGTGGACGTGTGGCTCAAGTGGTAGAGTGCCAGCCTTGAGTAAAAAAGAAAACAAACTATAATGGGAGGTCCTGATTTCAGGCACCACTATTATTAGCTCCTACACACACACACACACACATGTACACCTGCACACACACACACATACACAAAATGGATGTGGTGGCACATGCTGGGAATTCCAGCACTTGGGAGGCTAAGGCAGGAGGATCACAAATTGAGGCCACTGTGGGCTGCATAGCTAGACCCCCATCTCACAAAAGAAATTAAGTGGGGTAGATTATCAATCCCAACTGCCTTTTTTTTGGGGGGGGGCATGGGGCTTGAACTCAGACGGGGCACTGTCTCTGAGTTTTTTCTGCTCAAGACTAGTACTCTACCACTTTTAGTCACAGAGACATTTCTGGTTTTCTGGTGTTTTTTTGTTGTTGTTGTTTTGTTTTGTTTTTTGGTCAGTCGTGGGCCTGAACTCTTGGGTGCTGTCCCTCGGCTCTTCAGCTCAAAGCTAATGCTCTACCACTTGAGCCACAGCGCCTCTTCTGGCTTTTTCTGCTTATGTTGTGCTGAGGAATCGAACCCAGGGCCTCAAGCATGCAAGGTAAACACTACCACTGAGCCACCCTCCCAGCCCTAACTTCTTATTTTGTTTTAGTTTTTTTATTTTTACTTTTTTTTTTTTTTTACTTTTTTTTGGAAACAGGGTCTTGCTATGTAGACAAGTCAACCTCGAATTTGTGATCTTCTTCCTCCACATGAGTGCTGGGATTACAGGCGTGGTCTACTGTGCCTAGTTTTAACTTTAAATGCCAAATTGAGTATGTTAACATTCTTTTTTTTTGTTGGTTGTGGGCCTTGAACTCTGGGCCTGAACTCAAGGCTAGCACTCTACCACTTGAGCCACAGCACCACTTCCAGTTTCCTGGTGCTTAATTGAAGATAAAAGTCTCACGGCGGGCTGGGAAGGTGGCTCAGTGGTAGAGCGCTTCCCTTGCATGTATGAGGCCCTGGGTTTGATTCCTCAGCACCACATAAGAAAAAAAGCAGGAAGTGGTGCTGTGGCTCAAGTGGTAGAGCACTAGCCTTGAGCTGAAGAGCTTAGGGACAGCACCCAGGCCCAGAGTTCAGGCCCCACGACTGGACCCTAAAAAAAAAAAGCCTCATGGACTTTCCTGCCCAGGGCTGGCCTTGAACCACGATCCTCAGACCTCAGCCTTCTGAGTAGCTAGGATTACAGGTGTCAGCCACCAGAGCCTGGCTATGTTAATGTTTTTACTTTGTCTTTTTTTAGATGGTGTTATCTGAAAAGGTTAGTCAGCTGATGGAGTGGACCAATAAGAGACCTGTAATCCGAATGAATGGAGACAAGTTCCGCCGTCTTGTTAAAGCCCCCCCAAGAAACTACTCTGTTATTGTCATGTTTACCGCTCTACAACTCCATAGACAGTGTGTCGTTTGCAAGTATGTTCTTGCTGCTCTGCTTTAAAATTCAATACCTCACAACCTTTTAACCATTTTTTTCAGTCCCAGGAGAACCAACTGCAATGGGCACATAAATAATTGATGTGGATACCTTAATTAGAAGGTTTACTTATTTATTTTTTGGGTCCGTTCATGGGGCCTGAACTCTGGGTCTGGGCGCTATCCCTCATCTCTTCAGCTCAAGGCTAGCACTCTACCACTTGAGCCATAGCGCCACTTCCGGATTTTTTATTTTTGTTTATATGGTGCTGAGGAATCGAACCCAGGGCCTCATGCATGCAAGGCAAGCGCTCTACCACTGAGCCACCTTCCCAGCCCCTAATTAGAAGGTTTATAGCACCACACTTCTCCAGCTGTTTTGTTTCCAATTCTTGGGGGGCATGAAAAATATCACCATCATACGAATTATTTAAAAAAATTATCTTAAATCAGTACCAACTTATACGTAGTGAGCCAATAGTGTTGGTATAGTGCTTTATTATTTGTAAGTACTTTCAACATTATATTACTGTGGTATTACAATTCCAAAAAGTAGACAAAGCAAATTGGAGATAGAGGTGGAGAAAGGGGAGATGTTGACCTAAAGGTATATGGATTCGTGTAGATAAGATGAATGAAATTTAGTGATCTATTATATACTGTAAGGGCATAGTTGATAATAACACATATTTTGAATTTACTAAGAACAGATTTTACATGCTTTACCACAAAACAGTATGGAGAGGTAATGCATTAGTTTAAGTCAATCATTTTACAATGTATATACATATCCTAAAACAACATAAATATGTATAAAGGTATACTTATGTCTATAAATATTTATATAAACATACAGTTATTAATCAAAAATAATTTTCACTGGGAATGGAACTCAGTAGAATGCCTATCTACCATGCATAAAACTCTAAGTTTGAAAGCCAAAAAGCTTGGGGGAGCACCTGTTTGGCAAGAAGGAAGTCCTTAACTCACACACAAATACAAAAACAGGTGCTGGCAGGGCTGGGAAGGTGGCTCAGTGGTAGAGTGCTTGCCTTGCATGCATGAGGCCCTGGGTTCGATTCCTCGGTACCACATAAGAAGAAAAAGCTGGAAGTAATGCTGTGGCTCTAATAGTAGAGCGCTTGCCTTTATGAACTGAGGGACAGAGTTCAGACCCCATGACCAAAAAAAAAAAAAAAGTGACCCTGTAATCCTAACTATTCAGGAGTCTGAGATCTGAGGATCATGGCTCAAAGCCAGCCTGAGCAGGAAAATCCATGAGACTCTTCTCTCCAGTTAACAACCAGAAAGCCAAAAATTGAGGTATGATTCAAGTGGCCCTGAGCAAAAAAGCTGAGATAGCACCTAAACCCCGAGTTCAAGTCCCAGTGTGAAAAGAAAAAGGAAAAAAAGAGAGAACATTGAGGATTCAATCTAGATACTGTTAAAATTATACTTTTAAAAGGTAGGGAGTGGGGAAGAAAAGTGGGAGAAAATGAGGGATGGGGTAACAATGTTCAAGAAGAAATGTAGGGCAAGGAGCGCTGGTGGCTCATGCCTGTAATCCTAGCTACTCAGGGGGCTGAGATCTGAGGATCAGGGTTCAAAGCCAGCCCAGGCAGGAAAAGTCCCTTGAGACTCTTATCTCCAATAAACCATTCAGAAAACTGGAAGAAGTGGTGCTGTGGCTCAAGTGGTAGAGCACTAGCCTTGAGCTAAAGAGCTGAGGGACAGGCCCCAGGCCCAGAGTTCAGGCCCCACGACCGACCAAAAAAAAAGAAGGAGGAGGAAGAGAAAAATAATAATAATAATAATAATGTAGGGCTTGAAAGTGGCTTAGAGTCTCACAGATGCTTTGAACTGAGATCCTCAGATCAGCCTGTTTAGTAACTAAGATTAAAAGCATGAGCTGCAATGTCTCTAGAGAGTCTTATCTCTGATTAAGCACCAAAACAGCTGGAAGTGGAGCTTTGGTTCAAGTCATAGAATGCCAACCTTGAGCACAAAAGCTCAGGGACAGTGCCCAGAACCTGAGTTCAAACCTCAGGACCGGCACCAAAAAATAAATTAAAAAAAATAAAGGAAACAGATAAAACAAAACATAAGATAATAACTTACTTTAAAGCCAAAGGCATATCATTGAGAGATGTTTCTTTGCTTTATATTACTTTGGAATAATTGTAAACCTTGGAGATGAACATTAATCTCACTTAAGCTTTCACCAAAGAATGGCTGATTGATTTTATTTTACTTTCTCTGAGTGATCTTAAGAATTGATTGCTGGGCTGGGAAGTTGGCTCAGTGGTAGAGTGCTTGCCTCACATGCATGAGGCCCTGGGTTCAATTCCTCAGCACCACATAAGCAGAAAAAGCCAGAAGTGGCGCTGTGGCTCAAATGGTAGAGCGCTAGCCTTGAGCTGAAGAGCTGAGGGACAGTGCTCAGGCCCTGAGTTTAAGCCTCAAGACTGTCAAAAAACAACAAAAAATGGAGGCTGTACAAATCCTAACAGCTTGAATCATGAGAAGGAACAAGAACAGGTGACCTTGTTTCAGACAGATATCATGCCACTCCAAGCTTTGTTAAATTTTTCTTTTTTTGTTTTTTTTTTTGGTCAGTCGTGGGGCTTGAACTCTGGGCCTGAACGTTGTCCCTCAGCTCTTCAGCTCAGGGCGAGCATTCTACCTCTTGAGCTACAGCTCCACTTTCGTTTTTCTGGTGGTTTATTGGAGATAAGAGTTTCACGGACTTTCCTGCCCTGCCCGGGCTGGCTTTGAACCGTGATCCTCAGATCTCAGCCTCCTGAGTAGCTAGGATTACAGGTGTGAGCCACCAGCGCCCGGCAAGTTTTTCTTTTCTTTCTTTCTTTTTTTTTTGGTCGGTCATGGGGCTTGATCTCTAGGCTTCGGTGCTATCCCTGCGCTCTTCAGCTCAAGGCGAGCTTTCTACAGCTTGAGCCACAGCGCTACTTCCAGTTTTCTGGTGGTTAATTGGAGATAAGAGTCTCACGGACTTTTCTGCCCGGGCTGGCTTTGAACCATGATCCTCAGATTTCAGCCTCCTCAGTAGCTAGGATTATAGGCGTGAGCCACCGGTTCCGGCTTTGTTAAGTTTTCTTAAATGTTTTTTCTCATTGGAGATAGGAGTATAGTCAAAGTATTTAGCTTTTTCTTTTCTTTTTTTTTCCCCGGTCATGGGGCTTGAACTCTGGGCCTGAGTGCTGTCCTTCAGCTCTTCAGCTCAAGGCAAGTGCTCTACCACTTGAGCCACAGTGCCACTTCCGGTTTTCTGGTGGTTTATTGGAGATAAGAGTCTCACGGACTTTCCTGCCCTGCCCGGGCTGGCTGGCTTCCAACCGGGATTCTCAGATCTCAGCCTCCTGAGTAGCTAAGATTATAGGCGTGAGCCACCGGTTCCGGCTTTGTTAAGTTTTTCTTAAATGTTTTTTCTCATTGGAGATAGGAGTATAGTCAAAGTATTTAGCTTTTTCTTTTCTTTTTTTTTCCCCGGTCATGGGGCTTGAACTCTGGGCCTGAGTGCTGTCCTTCAGCTCTTCAGCTCAAGGCTAGCATTCTACCATGTGAGCCACAGTGCCACTTCCCGTTTTCTGGTGGTTTATTGGAGATAAGAATCTCTTGGACTTTCCTGCCCAGGCTGGCTTTGAATGTGATCCTCAGATCTCAGCCTCCTGAGGAGCTAGGATTACAGGTTCTAGCCACCCACCCCTGGCTTAACAGGATTGATTTGAAAAGTTGGTTATTTTTTCTTCACAAATTTAATTGCATTTAGGCAAGCTGATGAAGAATTCCAGATCCTGGCAAACTCTTGGCGATACTCCAATGCATTTACCAACAGGATATTTTTTGCCATGGTGGATTTTGATGAAGGTTCTGATGTATTTCAAATGGTAAGATATTTGCTTTATTCTCTGATGTAGGAATAGGTGGATGTTTTTAGTAGCTGTAAGAAATTAAGTGGGACTACTCATGTAAGATCTAGAGTTGGTACACTGAAAACTAAATGTCACTAGCCATAAAATATAGTAATCATCTGGGTACCTGTGGCTCACACCTGTAATGTTAGCTACTCAGGATGCAGAGCTCTGAAGACCATGATTTGATGCCAGCGTAGGCAGGAAAGTCCATGAGACTCTTCTGACCAATTAAACACCAAAATACTAGAAGTAGAAATGTGGCTATAGTGGTAGAACACTACCCTTGAGTACAAAAGCTCAGGGACAGTGCAGGCCCAGAGTTCAAGCCCCAGGAGCAGCATACAAAAAATAGTATTAAATGCTGATCTAGTAGAATATAGAAATTGGGTCATGAGGGGCTGGGAAGGTGGCTCAGTGGTAGAGCGCTTGCCTTGCATGCCTGAGGCCCTGGGTTCGATTCCTCAGCACCACATAAGCAAAAAG